TCCCCTTATATCAGGTGTCCCTAACATGGTCCCCTCTCACGTTGAGAGTCCCTCTTACACCAGATGTCCCATCAGAGTGCCACATTACATCATTTGTCCTAGTATGAGTTTCCCTTACATCAATTGCCAATGTCCCCATCAGAGTCCTGCCTACTTCAGATATCGCCATCAGAATGCTGCATTATATCAGACGTCTCATCAGCGTCCCCCCCCCTTATATCAGGTTTCCCATCAGAGTGCCCCTTTACATCAGTTGTCCCAATATGAGTGCCCCTTCCATCAATTGTCATCGTCAGAGTGCTCCTTTGCATAAACTGTACACACCAGAGTGCCCCTTACTTCGAACGTCCCCATCAGGGAGCCCCCTTATATCAATGTCCTCATCAGAGTCCCGCCTACTTCAGATATCCCCATCAGAGTGCCACATTATATCAGATGTCCCCTCAGCAACCCCCCCCCCCTTACATCAGGTGTCCTATCAGAGTCCCCCCTCACATCAGGTGTCCCATAAGAGTGCCCTTTTGCATCAGTTGTCCCAATATGAGTACCCCTTCCATCAATTGTCCTTATCAGAGTGCTCCTTTGCATAAACTGTCCACACCAGGGTGCCCCTTATATCAAATGACTGCATCAGAGTCCCCTTTAACGCAGATATCCCCATCAGAGTGCCACATTACATCAGGTGTCCAATCAGAGTCCCCCCTTACATCAGGTGTCCCCTCAGACTGCCCATTTACATCAGTTGTTCCTATATGAGTGCCCCTTATGTCAGTTGTCCTCATCAGAGTACCTCCTTGCATAAAATGTCCACAACAGGGTACCCCTTACATTTATTGCCCCATCAGAATCTCCTTTACTTCAAGTGCCCTCATTGGAGTGCCCCCTTATATCACTGTCCCCCTCAGAGTCCCCCTTACATCAGGCGTCCCGTCAGAGTGCCCCCTTACATCAGTTGTCCCATCAGAGTGCCCTCTTATCTCAGTGGTCCCATCAGAGTAACCTTTTACATCAGGTGTCCCATCAAAGTGCCCTTTTACAACAGTTGTCCATATATGAGTGCCCATTAAATCAATTGGGCTTATCAGAGTGCCCCTTTACATAAATTGTCCACACCAGAGTGTCCCCTTACATCAATTGCCCCATCAGAATCCCCTTTAAATCAAATGTCCCTATTAGATTGCCCCCTTATATCAATGTCCCCGTCAGACTACAGATGTCCCTATCAGAGACAACCTTACTTCAAATCTCTCCATCTTAGACACCCTTACATTAAATGTCCTCATCAGAGTACCCCCTTGCATCAGTTAGCCCCCATCAGATCAGTGCATGCACTCTCAAAAACCTGAAGGGGGGGGGGGTGCAACAAAAATCTGGGGGGCACCTTCTTTAGATCCTGGCCTTGGTGCCTGCAAAGCTCCTGGGTTAACGCCACTTGGCAGAGCCAACTGCATGAACCCAACGTTTAGGCATTCATGACCACCACTGCAAAGGGGACATTCTTCCTACTCGCCACCAATGTACGGGGCATATTGTCCCACTGACCACCAATAAATTGGTTTTTGCGTGGGTTACTCCGGGACCTGAAAATTATTTCAAGGGTTACCGTGGGGTGAGAAGGTTGAGAAAGGCTCTTCGACACAGTAGGGGGCACTCGTCAAGCGATAAAAGAGGTGGACCAAGAAATGAGAAGGTGTTACCAGCACAGTAAAAACCATTTTGAGGTTTTGGGGAAAAATGTGAAATTACTAAACCAAATTGTGAAATAATCCAAAATACCTTCGTCATTTAATTGTTTATAATATGATTACATAAGACAACCAACATTTTTTTGAGGACCAACACATTCTCACTTCATCGGGGCCTAAATAGTTCTAAGAGCTTCAATGGGCAAAGCTATCGGAAAGAACCTATGATGAATCTAGTGCGGGGATCTCCAAACTATGGCCCTCCAGCTGTTGAAGTACTACCAGTCCCATCATGCCTCTGCCTCTGGAAGTCTTGCCTGTGCTGTTAAATGCCTGTGAAATGGGACTTGCAGTTCCTCAACACCTAGAGGGCCGTAGTTTGAAGACCCCTGATCTTGTGTATTTGTTTGTTGGTGAAGTACTGAAAGTAAAAAAAAAAACCTCTTAGATGGGCATCTTAGCGAACACAATATACAGTGATATGGGATGTGATTTTTTTTACATGAATACGACCACATAGGTTGACCTGGATGGACTGGTGTCTTTATTCAACCTTACCAACTATGTATATAAAAAATACCCCAACATAGACTCGGCCACACCCAGCGCCGCTTGGATTGGCCACTAACGTAGAGTTGTAGCAAGGCTGTGGGTAGTCGAATATTTAATTAGTGGCATATACACAATACCCACACTACAGAAAAAAAAACAGACTAGGAAAATACTTTCAATTTCTCTTAGTTGCTCCTTTTGCTGAATACAAAGCTTCCACCGATTGGATGAGGCGGAGAGGCGGGTGGATGACGTCACGATCTCTGTCTCAGCCAATAAGAGGAGGCGTTGTATTCATTTATAGAATGCAAAGCTTCCAGCGAATGGCTGAGCGAAGTTGAAACCTAAGTTCGGCAGGCACGCCCCACAATGCACTGCACCCTGATAGTGCATTGCGAATGGTCAAAGCAAAGCTTTGGCCAATCACAGCATAGGTTGATGTCACTAGGTGAGCGCTGCCCCCTTGTGACGTCATGATAGTATTTAAGAACTGTCATCAGGGTGCAGCTGTGCAGGCGCGCCCAACAATGCACTGCGCCCTGATAGTGCATTGTGATAGGTCAAAGCAATACTTTGGCCAGTCACAGCATAGGTTGATGTCACAAGGGTATTTAAGAACTGTCATCAGGGTGCAGCTGTCAGACGGCCGGGAGCCAGCGTCGCGAGCGGAGCGGGTTTTTTTTTTTTTTTTCCTCGGGTTAGTGGCCGGCATCGTGATTGACGTCGGATCTACTTCCGGGGACATTTTTTTTAATTTTTATTTTTAATAAAAGGCTTGTCAAATACGGTTACCTATCTTTTTTACACTACTTTTTTTTTTCGTGAATGGGTAGCCATACCATGTACTGCATACTCATTCATATGGGGGGGGGGGGGCCCACATGGAAGAAAAATATCTTTAAAAAATATATTTTAAAAATATTCTTTCCAAATATATTGACATATATTTGAAATGCTACAATTTTGGCCGTATTCAATATATTTCAAAATATATTTCAATGATGATATATATACTGTATGTTGAAATGCGATTTTATTACAAAGTATATGAAAAATATTTTTCAAAATACATTTCAAATATACTGTATGTCTTTAAAAATACAAATCTACATGTTTGGAATGCACTTACAAATAAATGTAAAAATATATGTTAAAATGACTTTTTTATAGGTTAAAAAAATCTGAAGAATATATTTAAAAAATATATATTTTTTTTAAAATATATTATTCAGAGTTTTTTTTAACCAAAAGACGCCCGGCCAATAGCCGTTTGGTGGCCGGCAAATTCTGTAGATTTCCGGGGTGCACGCCAAATGGCGTCCTCCCGGGCATGCGCAGTTTTCGCGCTTGCAGAGCCGCGCAGCGGCGCGATCTGTCACCGGCCGTGTACCCCAGACACGGCCGATGACAGATCTGAATACCGGCCCCCGTTGCCGATACCATGTGACCTGCTGTGACCAATCACAGCAGGTCACATGACAGCAGTTGTATACAATGGATGGCTTCATTCATGCCATCCATTGTATACTAGTGTCTAGCTGTGAATGGTCACAGCGATCACATGCACATGTCATGTGATTAGCTGTGGCCAAATCACAGCTAAGCACAAAAAAAAAAAAAACCCCTGAATGAATCGATGTCATTCAGGTAAATGCTTGCTTATAGCAAAGTAATTCTTTGCTGTAAGCAAACTGTGTAAAAAAAAACAAAAACAAAATACTGATCACTTCCCCAAAGTAGTACAATGTTACTATGGTAACATTGTACTACTTTGGTCATAGTGAAAAAAATCTTGAAAAAAAAGAAAAAATTTTAAATTAATAAAAAAAAAAAAATTATATATTTTTTTTCATACTGTCAGTGTCCCTGATCACCGCCATGCCAGTTATATGATGATGCTGTACTGCACTGGTGACAGTATGTAAAAAAAAAATAATTTTTATACATTTTTTAATTTTCTGAAAAATTATGACAAAAAAATACAACTTCAAAAAATTCGCCATGCCTCTTATGAAGTACGTCGGACTGTCTACTCTGCAAAAAGGGGTCATTTGGGGGATATCTGTACTGTTCTGACATTTGGGGGATATCTGTACTGTCCTGACATTTGGGGGATATCTGTACTGTTCTGACATTTGGGGGATATCTGTACCGTCCTGACATTTGCGGGGATATCTGTACTGTTCTGACATTTGGGGGATATCTGTACTCTTCTGACATTTGGGGGGTATCTGTACTGTCCTGACATTTGGGGGATATCTGTACTGTCCTGACATTTGGGGGGATATCTCTGTACTGTCCTGACATTTGGGGGATATCTGTACTGTTCTGACATTTGGGGGATATCTGTACTGTCCTGACATTTGGGGGATATCTGTACTGTTCTGACATTTGGGGGATATCTGTACTGTCCTGACATTTGGGGGATATCTGTACTGTTCTGACATTTGGGGGGGGGGGGGATATCTGTACTGTCCTGACATTTGGGGGGTATCTGTACCGTCCTGACATTTGCGGGGATATCTGTACTGTTCTGACATTTGGGGGATATCTGTACTCTTCTGACATTTGGGGGGTATCTGTACTGTCCTGACATTTGGGGGATATCTGTACTGTCCTGACATTTGGGGGGATATCTGTACTGTTCTGACATTTGGGGGATATCTGTACTGTCCTGACATTTGGGGGATATCTGTACTGTTCTGACATTTGGGGGATATCTGTACTGTCCTGACATTTGGGGGGAAATCTGTACTGTTCTGACATTTGGGGGGGGGGATATCTGTACTGTTCTGACATTTGGGGGATATCTGTACTCTTCTGACATTTGGGGGGTATCTGTACTGTCCTGACATTTGGGGGATATCTGTACCGTCCTGACATTTGCGGGGATATCTGTACTGTTCTGACATTTGGGGGATATCTGTACTCTTCTGACATTTGGGGGGTATCTGTACTGTCCTGACATTTGGGGGATATCTGTACTGTCCTGACATTTGGGGGGATATCTGTACTGTCCTGACATTTGGGGGATATCTGTACTGTTCTGACATTTGGGGGATATCTGTACTGTCCTGACATTTGGGGGATATCTGTACTGTTCTGACATTTGGGGGGGGGGGATATCTGTACTGTTCTGACATTTGGGGGATATCTGTACTGTCCTGACATTTGGGGGATATCTGTACTGTTCTGACATTTGGGGGGATATCTGTACTGTCCTGACATTTGGGGGATATCTGTACTGTCCTGACATTTGGGGATATCTGTACCGTTCTGACATTGGGGGGATATCTGTACTGTCCTGACATTTGGAGGATATCTGTACTGTCCTGACATTTGGGGGGTATCAGTACTGTTCTGACATTCTTGGACCTCAAGAAATTAGATTGGCTGTCAGTACTTCAGGATTGATCAATATTCAGATCTATACCATAGTTTGTGAACTCTATAACTTTCCTACAAACTAAATAATACATCCTAATTTGGGTTATTTTCACCAAAGACATGTAGCAGAATACATCATCTCGGCCTAAATTTATGAAGAACAATTATTTATTTGCAAACTTTTATAACAGAAACAAAGAAAAACGTGTTTTGTTTTTAAAATGTTTGGTCTTTTTTTGTTAATTTAGCAAAAAATACAAATCCCAGTGGTGATTAAATACCACCAAAAGAAAGCTCTAGTTGTGTGAAGAAAATGATAAAATTTTACTTTGTTTACAGTGTTGTATGACCGCGCAATTGTCATTCAAAGTGTGAGAGTGCTGAAACCTGAAAACTGGCCTGGGCAGGAAGGGGGTAAAAGTGCCCTGTATTGAAATGGTTAACATATAAATAAGTCATTTTAACATATATTTGTAAATGCATTCCAAAAATGTAGATTTGTATTTTTAAAAACATACAGTATATTTGAAATTATTTTTAAAAATATTTTCCATATATTTTGTAATAAAAACACATTTCAACATGCAATATATATATATCCAAGGATCAGGACCCTCCTATCCCTCTTGTATTGAACTGTATTGTTGCTGTATTGTCTCCCGTTATATTGTAAAGTGCTGAGCAAACTGTTGGCGCTATATAAATCCTGTATAATAATAATAATATATATATATATATATATATATATATATATATATATATATATATATTTTTTTTTTTTTTTTAAATATATTGAATACGGCCAAAATTGTAGCACTTCAAATATATGTCAATATATTTGGGAAAAATATTTTTTAAATATATTTCAAATATATTTTTCTTCCATGTGGGAGGAGACACTGAGGGTAGCAGAGACATGGGCTCCTGCTGCTGTCAGTCAAACTCCTTGAGGGTGTGGCTTACCGGAGCTGTGTGAGTCTATGGATGCACACAGCCTGTGTCAGGGACCATCGCGACGCATGGGTCTACACATGCGTAGGCGTCTGTCAAGATGTGCAGGTAGCAGGGCACTAGGACCCAGGCGCACCCGTCGTCTTGACAGTACTAGGCAAGTACTAGGGATGGATGGATGGATGAGCAAAGTCAGATCTATAAGGGAACATCCAGGAGCAGAGTCAGGCAAGCCAAGGGGTCAGGACAGGAGAAGGCAACAAGGTCAGACAATCCAGATCAGAGTACTCACAACACAGGCAACAGGATACAAAAGACCATTCGGCAACAAGCGTCTGTGCAGGGCTCGTTTAAGTAGCCCGCCCTGCACCTGACAGTCGCCGCGCCTAGGTCCCAGTGCCTGCCTAGTACTGTCAAGACGATGGGTGAGCCTGGGTCCTAGTGCCCTGCTACCTGCGCGTCTTGACAGACGCCTATGCATGTGTAGACCTATGCGTCGCGATGGTCCCTGACAGCCTGGCTCAGAAGGGTGCATCCACCTTCTTAGAACTCGGCTTGCTACAAGAGGCAGGAGGGATCTGAGGGCCCCCTTGTTAAAGGGGCTTCCAGGTTCTGATAAGCCCCCCTGCCCGCAGACCCCCACAACCACCAGTAGGGGAAGAAGCCCTTGTCCCCATCAACATGGGGACAAGTTGTTTTGGGGGTGGAGCCCCCCTGCCCCAAGGCACCCCCCATGTTGAGGAAATGTGGCCTGGCATGGTTCAGGAGGGGGCACTCGCTCGCCTCCCCATCTTTCCTGACCTGCCGGGCTGCATGCTCAGATAAAAGTCTGGTTTAGATTTTGTCCGGTTTGGCCAGCTTGGCCCGCACAACCTATTTGAAGGTACATTAAATGCGGCGTTAGGCTTTAGATAATATATTCGGGAATCATAAACATTTTATATCTGCCTGGAGTTCAGCTTTAAACTTGATTCGGTGCCCTTTCTTTTTTTTACAATCTCCCCGACTCTGATTAATTGGGAAGCCGAAGGGGTACTTTTCTCTTTATGAAGGGACCTTGTGGGATCGGGGCACTATCATTTTCGGTCGGCAGGTCTTTGGATGCCCCCCCCCCCCTTGTAAATCAACTTTCCCCGTGCAATCAGCTGCATCGCCTTCACCACGAACGACCCGGTAAATGGCGTTTGTTAACATATTATAAATATCCGGTATAAAATATCAGACAGAATTGTCATTCTAATCAGCGGGACAGCAACAAAGGCAAATTGTAGGCTTTCAACAATAAGCTATTGCTGAAGTTTTGTGGAAGAAAATGCACGGCGCTACAGTAATGGAACAATAACTACATGTTACTCCAGATATTGCCCCCGAAATAAAAGCGGAAAGGCGGCGGATACACATAAAAAGCAATTGTTTAATGCTAGGTGCGGCGGACGCACAGCCAGCCATGCCTCGTGGAGGTAATCAGCTTTTTTTTTTTCCTATCTTAAGCCTTTCTGTACAATTATTTTTAATGATTGCCCATTATTCCTCAACATGCTGAACTGTCAAGCGATACGAGTCTATAAAGCATTAATTCTCAGCGGTTGTTATGCCGTATAGTTTACCGCTTTCTCCTTTTTGATATAGAAAACGCAATTAAAACCTTTTTTTTCAAAGGACTCTTTAACTGGGGGGGATCCCAGAGACTTTGCCGGAAAGGCAATTTTGTCATCAGGAAATAAAGTGGAAATTTCAGTAACTTTGGAAGTCTTCGGAAATGCTTTTCGTAATTTCGCATAAGGAAGTAGTAAACCTTTTTATCATTAAAAAAAATAAAAGTTCTATGCTTGAGTTCCAGCTCCAGTCATTGCTGCCCCTGGAACCTCGGTCGTTATTCTATCAGTTTTTCCTCCGAAACCTGGCAAATTTATAACCGGCGTGGGAATCCTTCCCATTTAATGGCGTCTGTAAACCTCGGCCGTTACTCTGTCTGTTTTTCCTCCAAAAAACCTGGCAAATTTATAATAGACGTGGGAATCCTTCCCATTTAATGGCGTCTGTCAACCTCGACCATCACTCTGTCAGTATTTCCCCCCAAAAAACCTGGCAAATTTATAAGCAGCGTGGGAATCCTTCCCATTTAATGGCGTCTGTAAACCTCGGCCGTTACTCTGTCTGTTTTTCCTCCAAAAAACCTGGCAAATTTATAATAGACGTGGGAATCCTTCCCATTTAATGGCGTCTGTCAACCTCGACCATCACTCTGTCAGTATTTTCCCCCCAAAAAACCTGGCAAATTTATAAGCAGCGTGGGAATCCTTCCCATTTAATGGCGTCTGTCAACCTCGGCCGTCACTCTGTCAGTTTTTCCTCCGAAAAACCTGGCAAATTTATAACCGGTGTGGGAATCCTTCCCATTTATTGGTGTCTGTCAACCTCGGCCGTCACTCTGTCAGTTTTTCCTCCAAAAAACCTGGCAAATTTATAACCGGCGTGGGAATCCTTCCCATTTAATGGCGTCTGTCAACCTCGGCCATCACTCTGTCAGTTTTTCCTCAAAAAACCTGGCAAATTTATAATAGGCGTGGGAATCCTTCCCATTTGATGGCGTCTTTCAACCTCGACTGTCACTCTGTCAGTTTTTCCTCCAAAAAAACCTGGCAAATTTATAACCGGCGTGGGAATTCTTCCCATTTAATGGTGTCTGTCAACCTCGGCCGTCACTCTGTCTGTTTTTCCTAAAAAAAAACTGGCAAATTTATAACCAGCGTTGGAATTCTTCCCATTTAATGGCGTCTGTCAACCTCGGCTGTCACTTGTCTGTTTTTCCTCCAAAAAACCTGGCAAATTTATAACCAGCGTTGGAATTCTTCCCATTTAATGGCGTCTGTCAACCTCGGCTGTCACTCTGTCTGTTTTGCCTCCGAAAAAACCTGGCAAATTTATAACCAGCGTTGGAATTCTTACCATTTAATGGCGTCTGTCAACCTCGGCCGTTACTGTCAGTTTTTCCTCCAAAAAACCTGGCAAATTTATAATAGGCGTGGGAATCCTTCCCATTTCCTGGTGTCTATCAGCTTCGGCCATCACTCCTTTCCATTTAATGGCGTTTGAAGAAAGGAGAGTCCTTTCTCCCGAAGCTCCTTTGCTTGATGACCTTTCTTTTGGACATCTTTCTTTCCTTTTATTCCAAGTCTACATGCAAAAATGACCTTAAAGCGAAGATTCACCCAAAAGGGGAAGTTCTGCTTTAAGCCTTTGTCTCCGCTCCCCGTTAAGGATTGGCACCTGTGGGGAGCGGGGGTACCCAAATTTGATAGTTGTCCTCCCCCCTCCCTCCTCGTAGTCGTGACGTGACAGGTCCTAGAAGACTACGGGACCACTCACAAAGCGCAGAGCTACTCGCACATGTGCAGTGGGCACCTGGCTGGGAAGCCGCAAGCTGTCACAGCCAGGTGCCCACACTGAAGATGCCAGTGCCGGAGAGAGAAAACGACCGGTGAAGCCAGCCGTGGTGAGGGGTGAGGGGGTGAGGGACAGGTAAGTGTCTGTATTTTAAAAGTCAGCAGCTACAGTTTTTGTAGCTGCTGACTTTTATTTTTTTTATATCAACTGGATCTCCGCTTTAAGTCCATACCAGAAAGCCAGCAGTCCAAACCCCAAGAGGGTTTACCACCCAGGATCCACCACTGGGCGCAACTGACTGGAGGGACATCTCCCTACCCACTCATACAGCCTCCCACCTAGGAACAATGACTGATCCAGTGAGTCCAGCATGGTCTCCAGCACAAACATGATGCCTGAGCTCCAATCAGTGATTTTGCCTAGGCTGAGATGGTGTCACCAGTCTGCTTGTAGACTGGTGGTAGAGTGGGGTCC